ACTGATTATATATTAGTGCCTCGTAGCCTTTAGTTCCCAGTAGATAGCTGGGAAACTTTCTCCAAATGATAAGTTATTTAGAGAAAGTTTCCCAGCTATCTAGAGGGAATTGTTCCTTATGATGTACATATTTATAATGTATGCATCATAAGGAACAATTCCCTCCTTAAAACGAGAAAACTTGTTCGCAATTATTTCGCATTTCGAACAAGTTTTCTCGTTTTTAATAACAAACTAAAGGCTATGAGGCACTGATTATATATTAGTGCCTCATAGCCTTTAGTTCCCAGTAGATAGCTGGGAAACTTTCTCCAAATGATAAGTTATTTAGAGAAAGTTTCCCAGCTATCTAGAGGGAATTGTTCCTTATGATGTATATATTTATAATGTATGCATCATAAGGAACAATTCCCTCCTTAAAACGAGAAAACTTGTTCGCAATCATTTCGCATTTCGAACAAGTTTTCTCGTTTTTAATAACAAACTAAAGGCTATGAGGCACTGATTATATATTAGTGCCTCATAGCCTTTAGTTCCCAGTAGATAGCTGGGAAACTTTCTCCAAATGATAAGTTATTTAGAGAAAGTTTCCCAGCTATCTAGAGGGAATTGTTCCTTATGATGTATATATTTATAATGTATGCATCATAAGGAACAATTCCCTCCTTAAAACGAGAAAACTTGTTCGCAATCATTTCGCATTTCGAACAAGTTTTCTCGTTTTTAATAACAAACTAAAGGCTATGAGGCACTGACCTTATATCAGTGCCTCATAGCCTTTAGTTCCCTGTAGAAAAGATCAAAATTTTATTCTGATTTTAACTGATCTATATTTCGCTTGCGTTATTTGAATCTTTTCTTTTGCATATGTCATTCCTTTCACTTTTCGAATTTCATTTGCCTGCATGCTCTCTCGTTTTGGTTGAAAATCAACTCAATCTTAAAATGAACTTCTTCATTCTTTACAATAAATTCAATTTTTTTCGAGATATATCTTTATCTACCCCTATGTGAGCTGCATATTCTTTCTCGCTAAATTCTTTTGATTCTTCAGAGCTAAAAATCAAGTTTAATAAAAATAATGTTTATTCATAATTTTGAAAACCAAATTCAAATTTGAATGAGAATTTTTGAAAAAAATATAGAATATTTCAATAGTTTGGAATCTCTTCAACTTCCCACTGCTTATTAACACATTTTTTCCAGAGCGGTTTATCATCCTTGGTCCATTTCTTAAATTTTTGTTGTAAACCTCTCTTGGAGTGTATGGTCGAACTCCAATTTTTGGATGAGCGCCATGTGGCATGTCATTGTATTTTTGCCTGAATTCTTCCAATTCCTGATTGATGCTCTCAAATTCTGAAGACTTTGGAGCATTTTTGTCCAGTGATGGCCAGAGGCGTTCAATTTTGCCATTTTGACGTGGCATGTATGGAGCTGATTTTCTGATTTGAATGTCATAAGTACTCAAAAATTTTGTGAACTCTCCCTCATTTTCTTTACCGTTATCTGACCAGAAACAGAAAGGTGCTCCATATTTTTGAACTGTTGCAATTGCCACTTTTGAAGTTTCTGTTGAACTTTTGTTACGAAGCAATTTCAATGCTAACAAATAACGACTTTTGTCATCAATTATTCCATAAACCGGTAAAGTTTCTGGTTCTTTCAAAAAATGAATATCCACATGCCAGATTGTATTTGGAAGAATTGCTTCATAATCCACATAATATGCTTTTGGATTACTTTTATCTTTTTCTTTGTAAATTCCCAGAAATTTTGCTGCCTTAATAACTGCATTGTAACTGATTTGAAATTGTTTTGGATTCATATTGAGAGTCCAATACAATTTTTGAACCCCACATTTGTAATTTTCATAAGAATTCTGAACCTTCAAAATTAATTTTGCAAATTACCTCAGACTTTTCAGAGGATTGAGTGGCAACTCAATCCTCTGAAATAGTCTGTGGTAATTTTTAGTCTCTACACTATTTCAATATAAGCTCCATTTTTAAACAGTTTTTAAAAATCGAGCATTGAAAAGTGTGATGAGACTCTGGAGTTAATTCCTCTTGTGGAGGACCACTTTTAATTTTTGGTGTACCACCGATTTCTTTGAATGCTTTTTTGAGAGTATTTCTTGAAATTTGTTTGAAAATTGTAACATTTTGATAAGAATATGGAACTTTTTTCAAAACTGTTGCGTATGTTAACTCACCATAAGGATGTCAATTCGGAAAATTGTTTTCATTTTAGGAGAATATAATTTTCCTTTTCGAAAATTTAAAAAGTGAGACGCGCAGGATTCGAACTTTTTTAAAAGTTGATTTAAATATATTCTAGTGTGGATTCTAAGGATAATATCATATTTAAAATAAGAATATACTAGTTTAGGTGGTATAATTTTTTTCGATAAATTTGAGAGCATGTACGTTTAGGACATCAAAAGTGTCAATTCGCTCAGCGAAAGCTGAGCTAGCTTCGTTCTCGAAAGAATAGGGAAGGAGTGAAAGAGAGTGATACAGATGTTGACACATTCATATCATTTCAACAAATTTTGATCAAATTGAAATGCAATGAAATTCAATTCACTTCATATCCTTCAGTCAGTACATTGACATCCTTCTACATCACAATGATAACTCGTGCATCAATAGTTCTACAACTAACTCAGAAAAAACAAGATTTTTCCTTCCAGCTTACAGCTTTTAAAAAGTTTCGATGATAAAAATCACTCTACTCTTGTTTATCGATATGTTGTGATAGTAGGTAAACGTATTCTTATCGATATTAATAAAAATATTTTTACGAAAATCTGAACCAATTACAGAGTTATTCATAAAGTTTATGATAACTGTAATTACTTCATCTTTGTTTTATATTTGAATAAACAATTTAATTTAATTTGCATAATTTTTTTAGTTGAAAGACAGGAAACTTAGTTGAGTTTGTATTATTTTTATCGTTCAATTCATTGTATATGTGAGTGATCCAGATATTTAAGATATTTAGAAAAAAATTTATTAATTTGATTAATAAATTTTAATCAAAATAGCAAAAATCTATTTGATAGCTGTAAGCAAAAATAATTTCTATTTCAACCAAAATCACTTATTTTCATATAAACGTATAAAATTGTCAATTTTATGAGAATAAATTTAAAATCTCATGAAATATAAAGGAGAGTAATATTTTTCAATTTTCTTTTTTTCTTTCTCTCAAATATTTTCTATTGGGAATTTTCTTGTTATCAAAAAATAATTTTAATATTTGTTTATTTCATTACATACAATAAAATTTTAAAAACTCTATTTCTTCACAAGAAAATTTTTTTCCTTCATATGAAGAAACATTTTGTTCTCCATTTGATGCTGAGTCTAAATCTCGATTTTTGAATTTTCTTCTTTCCAAATTTCTTTTTTCCAAATTAGAAGTTTAATTCAAATTTTCAATAGTTTATATATTTTCTCAAACCGTCTTAGATTTTCTCACTTTTTAGGGATTTTCTCTCAAAATATACAAAAATAGTAATACCAATACATGTGTCTAATATACTTTAAAACCATCGTGATAAAATTCAAAAACGAAGAGTTCTTCTCTCCAAATTTTTTTCAAAATCAAAAAAATGAGATAAAAAAATATGTTTGGAAAATTCATTTTTAGCATTTTAGGAATTTTCTCACTTTTCTTCCAAATTGACATCCTTACTCACCACTTTCAAGTTTTTCATACATATATCTTACCCATTCATTTGGAATACTAGGTCTCGAGTTTTCGTTCATTTTTTTTACTTTATAAAACTGTTTATTTTTCAGAATTTTTAAATTTGAAAAAGTCCATTCTATATCTGATAAATAATATATTATTTTTCAATCAAAATATTTTGATTATCATCTCAAAAGTGTTCTCAAAACCTAGTTTTTCTTATTTTGGATAATCTTAATATTTATATTATTGTAAACTAATTGAACACCATATGTTTTTGTATACTTTTACAAAAAAATTGATAGATTTGTGATACTTTCCCCGACGATAGAATTGAATAGCTTACATTTTGACAGAACTTAATATGGAACACTTATTTAAGTATTTAGTATTATTACTTAAAAATTTTGAACATTTATTTTATAATATTGAGATTTAAAATAAACTATTGCTCGATCGTATCTTTATTTGCTCTTTTAATAAAAAATCTAACTTACTATTGATTAGATATTGATTTAAAAAAAATAATATAATAGCATAATAAAATTTTTTTATTTCCCCCGTACAAAGATATAGCCGTAACAAGACATTAACGTTTGGAAAGTAAATTTGAAAAAAAGTATTATATTATAAAAGAAGTTACAAATTTTTAGAATATTTTTGTAAAATAAGAGCAAAAAGTAGAATGCAAACTCTTCGGGTACTAAAACCTGCCATTAAATTGAGATAAATAATAGATTTTGTAAAATTTTGTTGTAATTCTTGTATCAGTCTTGCCTTGAGTATGAGTTTGAGTCTACCCTTGTTTCCATATTGCCTATTCCTGTTTTAATGCGGCTATTCCTATTCCAGTTTTTGGTGCTTTTCTATGATAACCAAATTGATTTGGTTATCATAGAAAAGAGACCATTATAATGCTTAAAATTAATTATGTTTAGGGCCGGTTTATTGGGATAAGGAAGTTTATAATACGTGAACACTTGTTTCCTCATCGAAAAGTCATAACGCATAAAGTCGATGTTTCCTTAGTACAAAAAGTGACATATGACGCTTAACTCTTTATCCAGATAATGACCATATTTATGGGATTAAAAAGTTTAGGAAGCTTCTCCCCATTTTCAAACAAATAATAATATTGCTTGATATAATGTTTGCCTTACAAAAATGTTTCCTTTGTCTTGCCACCATAGATATTCTATTTTGTCACTTTTTGCGCCCGCCGTGCCATGTATAAATAATATTAAATTATTTCAAACAAAATAAAAATAATATTAAATTATTTCAAACAAAATAAAACTTTAATTTTTATCAGATGCAGGGGTATTATGTTTCTTCTTTGCAGCAGCTTTAGGACCAAAATTACTTGTTGGATTTTGGTAAAATCTGCAAATTTTCTTTTCTTTCTTTAATCTGACTTCAATTTCCTCATCTGTCTCCAGATTCACGTCATATTTCGGTTTGGCCTCCAAAATTTTCCTTGCAACAGAGTCTGCTTCTGGAAGTTTCTTTCCTTCGCCGAAATACCATTTTCTGCAGATATCCCAGATGAGTTCTGATGGGGCATCAGTCTTTATTTTGCCGGCATCGCAATGTGTCAACGAAACATGGAAATTTTGTCTCTCAATTTGGGTATAAATTAAAGCTCTTGGAGGACAACTAGCTTTAATGATGCTCGTGAGAGCTCCTATATCGTAGTAAAACAGTGCTTCTATTTCGTTGCGACAACAATTCAAAACTCCTTCAATTCTTGGAATTGTTTGTAGATTATGCATTTTTGGCAATAATTCGAGTACTTGGTCGATGAATTCTTTGCTGTGGAGAGGTCCGTTATAGAAAGGACCTCCAATCTTTAATGCTCCGCCTGTATATGGATCTTTTGTAAATTCAAGTTCGACATTTGTAGGTCTTATGACTGCGTTTGTATTCTTTATGGTGCATACACCTAATGGCTGCAACCAAAATGACTTACTATCGTTGCTGTAAAGCATAATTGAAGTTAATGCGGCTGATTTCTTTGCTTCGAGCGGTTTATCGTGTATTCTTACGAATAGTCTGATATAGAAATTAGCGGCGAGACAAATAAGTGGTTCAATGGATCGTTTCAGGCGAGCAGCGATATTAATAAGAGTTGTTAACAAACATCTGATTCCGAACTCATGTCCGAACTCAACATTAAGAGGAACGCATCCATACCATTAGTATGCAACATCAGGTTGGACACCACAAAGTGTACGTCCATCTGTACTTGTTATGCACAGTAAAGCTCCATCAGTTGCTGCTTTAACGACACCTTCAAGGAATGGTGCAGCTGTAGAGTATGGATCTAAGTCTAAAACTTGAAATTGGTTTTCATTTTCAAGCATTTTTTCTCTGGCGTCTCCTTGAGATGCAGTAACAAGATTAGAAACTTTGTTAATCAAAATATTTCTCTTGATGATCTCAACGGCTGCTTGATCCAAGTCATTGGCGATAATTTTTTTAACTCCTGAAACTTCTTTTGCATAACGAATTGAACGAAGTCCAGAAGCTGCAAATGCTTCAAATATCGAAATATCGTCCTTTATACTATTCCTATATGCTTGAATAACTGCACAAGTTAAATCTCGGTTAAATTGTTGAACTGGATTGTAAAAAATTTCATTTTCAGTGTATTCCGCAGGCATGTATATATTTGCAGAGCCTTCTGAAAAGGCAAGCTTCTCATTTTCCTTTGGAATACTTTCGTCCTGACCCATAAAAAGTGACAAAACTTTAGATTGAGTTTTTATCAATAATTATGAATTTAAATAGGAATACAAATAGTTTCAACGATTATATAATAAACAGAAATTCATCAAAAGTGACAGCTCTCAATTTTTTGACATTTGTAAATTCTAAATTGAATGAGAAAAATGAAATAATACTAAGCATAATACAATATTCTAGATTTAATTATAATTAGGAAAAAGTTAGTTTTGAGAGTACTTTTCATAGGCATATAGAATGAAATCTTCTGAAAAATAATATCACATAAACTCATATTATTTTCTAATATATAACTATTTTATATAAAAATCAAATTCAATGATCTTAAAAGCGAAGGATAAACCTCAAAATTTACGAATATAATGAGTGGGAATATAATGCTTATCTATCATAAAACCATATGAAATATCAATTTTTGCTTTACGCCTAATTTTTGACGACAATTAGCAAAAAATGTTAAATGTTAACACTCAGTCCATTTGAATATGAAAAATAAAATTGACTTTGATTAAATGTTTTTATTTATCATGCAATTCTTCTTGCGACCAAAGATTTGAATAAAAGTTCAAAAAATAAGATAGCTTAAAAAATAATATACGGTAGTGTTTACTAATAGATGAATAGTATATAAATTCTATTAAAATGGATTTGATCCAAAAAAATATATAAAATTTGATCATAAATAAAATTGTTTAGTAATCATTTAAAATGATGTAATTATTCAAATTTTGCTAAGACCCATTCGTCTTTGATACATAACTCCCATTTTTGCATTTCTGGCTCGTACCAAAATTTTGAAACTTCGAATAATTCGTTAGGAGTGTAATTACTATTCGTTTTTGGATTAATATCGAGAGATAAATGTGGTGTATTGTTGTATTTTTCAATGAACTGCTGAACCGAGTCCTTGATTTGTTGAATATCATCCAACTCGTCTGGCAAAAACTTTTCTAAGCTTGGCCACAGGCGCTCCACCTTGCCGTTCTGTCTTGGCATATGCGGCAAGGTGTGCTTCCAAACTATTCCGTTTTCCTGCATAACCTGGCCGAATTCACCGCAGTTTTCACCGCCGTTATCGGTCCAGATGCAGTAAGGAATAAACTCCTCTAAAAGTTTTCTTAAAACCTTCGCTGTTGAGTTGGAAGACAGTTAGTAAACATATCTTGGGTACGGCGGCACTGCGCGCCTCCTTACCCATTATATGTGAATTTGACACTTTACGAAACCGCTAACGTATATTTTACAACACAAACGACAACACTAACTTAACCTTAAATATTTACAAAGCCACCAACCTCTTCACCCACTAACGAACTCACTAATGAAAAAATAAACGTTCTCATAAATTTTCCTCAATATCTTCATCATCAGTGTTAACCCTATTGTAGTCATACTTGAAGTCATAAACTTTCTCTAACTTCTTAACGTACAATTTACATAACTTACCTTCGTCATCGTATGTTTAATGATATAACTATTTCTATCTTTATACACAGTCAATGAAAAGTCAACTGGTCTCGGATGTATTTGAAAGAACATGTTATGCTCAGGAAGGAAGAATAAATGTTTAAATGTATGTTTGTTATACTGTGGAATTCGAATGAGTTGCTTTTGTTCTGTCATTTATATAAAAATAAAATAAAAAATAAAAAAAAAATAAACTTAAAAATAAATGATATCACCACTCCCACACGTATGAAAACATAGCGAAAAAATAAATTTAGGTGAAGTGGTGAAATCACCTCTTTTTTCACCTCTTTTTTCACCCACACTAACGTTTTCACTAACGAACTCACTAATGAAAAAATAAACGTTGTCAGAGGTGAAAAATAAATTTAGGTGAAGTGGTGAAATCTCACCTCTTTTTTCACCTCTTTTTTCACCCTGTTGAATTCATTACTTTATAACTCTCTTCCTTTATCCAACTCTTCTAACTTCTTCTTAAGTTTAGCAATGTTGTACTCATGAAGTTTAATTTTTCTCAAAATTCCTTCTCTATCTAATGGTTGTTTTATCTTTCTAAACTGAACTCTACCATCCTTCATAGTATGAATGTAAAAACCTTCTGGAATAGTTCCTGATTTAATGTATTCTACCAAAAACTTTTGTTTCATTGCTTCAGTGACTTTATTTGTCATTTCAATCAAATAAAAATTTTAATATTAAATAAAAATAACGTTATTTTTTCAGTAAGGAAACGCAGGAGTTTTACGATTTATTTGAGGAGTAGGTTCTGGTTTAAATGTTGGAGTCGGTTTTGGAGTTGACTTTTGAACAGGAGTTTGTAATTCCATAGGTTCAGGAGTCATTGAAGGTGTTGTTTGTGAAGGCGTTGGTTTTGACGTTGGTTTTGGCGAAGGTGTTGGGAGTTTGTTTAACTTCAGCTACTTCAGTATTATTTATAACATTTGCTTTTTTTTCTTTCAACATCATTACTGCTCCTGCTGTAGCTAGCAAACCTAGTGGGAGACCATATTTTATATAAGGACTTGACCAAATGCTATTTTTGACAGGAGCTGGCGGAACACCTAACCTTGGCGAGACTGCTCTTTGCCATTTGTGCAGCTCGTAAGAAATATTCAATAGGTGTCCATAATCGTTTGGTAAAGTTTGTTTCATAGATGGTGAAGGTTCACGAGAGCTTGATGAAGAACTCATTTATAAGATTTAAAAATAAACGTTCATCCTTTATTCCTCACTGTCGTCAGTTGCTAAGTTATAGTCGTCAAGTCTTATTATGGGGATGCCATTAGCACGCACTTGAATGGCAAAGCAACAATCCCTCATAAATCCAATAAGTGGCTTTGGTACGTTTTCAGTTGCTAGTTCAATAGGTCCTTTAACAGACAATTTGTATGTTATTGGAGCAGTAGATGTTTGACCTTGCTGGAAGCAAAAGTCCACTTCTGTTGGAAAACCACATAAGAAATGTGTGTTGTCATAGCTATCCCATTTATGTTCCACACTACCATCATCCACCAATGACCTCATAACATCTTCATTAAATCCAATCATATCATTGTTTGTATTGCAGGCGTTCGCAACCATTTCATAAAATACAGTCCATATGATTTTTCGGTTCTGCAGGCATATTTCCATAAGCTCCCATGGAAAGCTGAAGATATTTAAACTTAGGGTTCTCAAAATTAACATAATAGTTGTCTTTCTTTTCTAAATAGTGCCCAAATACTTTTAAACATTTAATAGCGTATAAGCTGCTGTAAATGTTGCCACTTGAACTATCTGTATTCTTTGAGAATGAACCGTCCATAGGAATCCAATCCATAACTTGTAACAGGAAAACATAAAGCCTCGTTTGTATAATGTTCTACAAGTTCTGTATAAATGTTAGGGTCTAAAGAGAATGACTTTGGATGAATGAAACATTCATTAAAATCCATCTTTGTTCGAAATAGTTGCTGGGTTACAGTTGTAATAGTAACTGTTCCACTAGCTTCTATTGCCTTCGTTATCATAGTGAATGGTTCATTCCATGGAACAAATTTATTTGTCGGTGGATTTGAATCTGAAGCAAATGCAACTTTAAGAGTTGGATTGAAAGCAATGATATCATTTACAGATATAGATGTGCATTGTAAGGCGTCGCTACTGAACTTTACTTTAAGCTGAATGTTTCCTGCAAAAGCTGGAATAAATCTTATAGCTTCTAATGGTAAAAACTTTCTAACAGGAATTCTTAAACGAAGCTTAAAATCAAATGATTTTCCTGCTGTAATTGGACCACTAACAATTTGTCCTGTTCTGCATGTTCCCGAATGACTCCATACATCTTCATGTCGAGTCTTTGAGAAAACATCTACTTTCTTTATTTGTTCGGTAGTTTGTGAGTTTGAAGTTATATATGCTTCTTCTCTTGCGTTGTCTTGAGAATATACGATACGACCATTTGCAAGGATTTGATATCCAGCAACTGCATAGAAAGCGTCATCGAAACCAATCCAAAATCCTGGTGGGTTTGTTTTATTGGAACCTGAACCAATTTCTTTATCTACAATAAATTGACCTTCCATTTTATACGTAATGAATGTATTGTAAAGGTCCAACATATTTTCACCAGGAGGTGAGAGATTGAATGTTACCCATGTGTTATCTTTAGCAGTTCCAGGTTGTGATGGAATCTTTGCGTCAGAATATTTTCTATTAGTGTCACCAATTTGAACTGCATTGTCTATGATATCGAAATATGAGCGAATCTGATGAATATGCTCTGCTGGAGTAAATTCGTTTAGCTGTTCGTTCTGCATGTATTTACTTCGGATAAAAATATCTATTTACTTCATTATTCTCACTCTTCTTCTTGGAATTCGTGGTGGAAATTGTTTCTTGACATTTTTAATGAACTGTACATTCTCTTTTGTCTCAACTTCTTTCACTGGTGGGTCAGGGTTCTTTGACTCGGTTTGCTTTTCAATGAAATTCACGAACTTTGCAATAAGCTCTTGGTTCGTTATTGAAAGTACATCTGGCTTCTTTTCTTCTTGTTCTTTTGGTGGTTCAGTTTGAACAGAAGGTTTTATATGGGCTTCGTGTACTTCACCCTTGCCATGCACCTTAATGTTGTCGCTCTCTGCATTCGCTAATGGAACCTTTCTTTTTCTTACGTATATTTTACCATCTTTACTCTGACTTACATAATAGAAAGGATGTTGTATTCCTCTTGCGTCATTTAATATAATAGACTCTCGCTCTGATTTTGACAAGCTCATTTTACATCGGTTAAAGTTTTAATTTTGTTTTTTATCTGCAATCAAATGACTCAGACAAGCCCTACGGACAAGACCCAAGGGGTTATAGATGTTGAAGCATTGAAGAAAGAAATTCGTGAGCAAATTTTATCCGAACTGAAGGAACAAAAACAAGAACAAAAGCCAGAGAGACCAAAGAGAAAGTTAAGTGAAAAACAACTTGCTGCATTAGCTGCTGGAAGACAAAAGAACCCAAGACTACTGGCGAAAAAAGCTAGAGAAGAAGCTGAAGCAAAAGCTAAAGAAGCTGAAGTGAAGAAAGAGTAAATGGTTTATTTTTATTGGAACTAAATGTATAGACAAATACCTTTATCTGTTGCGTTCAGTAGTGAAAACCCTGACGTCAAAATAAAGGGGAACAGAGTAACGTTTAAGTTTCCAACAGACTGGATTGTGAACATAAATGAAGAGAAGTACATTGGCATAACATCTATGTATATAACACGTGCATTTAGGAAAGTTGACTTTATACTTCAAGTCGAGATAGAAAATGACGAACAGTCTTTAAGCGCCCAAAACATTCACATATACAAATACTTTAAAGACGATACAACATTGCAACAATGTATGATTTCATTTAATGAGATGTTCGAGAAAAAGTTCAACATTGAAGTACAAACTTTACAGCCTTTACGTGAGTTTCTTGCACAACTGAAAGAAGAAGGTAGTCAGCCACAACTTATAGACTTTCATTATGAATTTAATGAAAATGAAGATGGAACACATGACTGTCAATTCATTGTATTCTCACCATTCAATGAAGTCGCTAAAGAGAAAGAAAATCCATTACGTATAAGATTTCAAATCTCCGAACCAAGTGATGATTTTAAGAATGTTTTCAATTATGATGCAATGCTTCCGAGGAAAAATGAATTTTCAAAGATTGTAACACCTGGCATTTGGGATAGAAAGCAGGCTATATTATATTCAAACTTAAGTAAGGGAGTTGAAAATGAGTTCATTGGTCATACAAGAACTTCACCACTTCCTAACCCTAAATACTATAAATTAACTGGCTTCAATCGTGAGTTTTGGATAGACATGTTCTCCACTCATGACCATAACTGCCCAGTGTTCTTACCTCCAGACCATAAGGACTGTCTCTACATTGAAGCACAACTCTTAAACTCTACCATCGCAGTATTGTAAAATCTACGCTAGCTTTATTTTTATCACGAATGACCTCATTGCTGACAAAAATAAATGACCTCATTCATGATCTCATTGCTGACCTCATTGCTGACCTCATTCATGACCTCATTGCTGACCTCATTCATGATCTCATTGCTGACCTCATTCATGACCTCATTGCTGACCTCATTCATGATCTCATTGCTGACCTCATTGCTGACAAAAATAAATGACCTCATTGCTGACAAAAATAAATGACCTCAGAACTTAAGCTTACGAATAAAGCTTGTTTTAGTCGTTATTGAGAAGTTAAACTTCTCTTCAAAGCAAGGTTGACATGACTTACATAAGTCAAATCCAATCTCTTGACCATCATGAAGTGCTTTATAAAGTTTCATGACACTGAACTCAGAGTCTTTGTCAAATTTTCCTTGCGGAACCATTAAACCTTTATCTTCATCATAGAAACACTGAACAGAGTCAGGAAACATTTCATTAGCGGTTAAAGCAATAACATCTTGCTTCACGCCTTTCATTCTGCAGTGAAATGCAACTTCATTTAAATCGTTAGTGAGTAAGTCTATGTAGGTCTTCTTTCCACAAAATATTGACTTGTATGCTAAACTTTGTTTTCCAGGTGTTATTTCTGCGAAGTCAGAATGAAATTGACCAAGGTTTTTACCAATGAGAACTCTTCCATAACGTTTCTCAAACTCTTCAGCTAAACGAGGGATATCTTCATTGTAGAGATGCATACTGTCCGTATCGCTATAAAAGATGTCCATTCCTAAGTCTTCAATCGTGCAAAACACTTCATTCATTATTCTCTTCGACATAGACAGAATGTTAACACCAAGTGGACAGAAGTTAAAGTGTCTACAAATGCTTTTTGTTAGTTTGAATATAGTTTTATCTGAACCATCCAAACCTTCGAACTTCACTATATGGTTGTAATTTCTTATAGCATATCTTATAGCATCTTTGTCATTTACTATGGTTATTTTTGACTCAATAGGAGATAGAATAGTTTTGCCATAAATACTGTTCAGAATGAGCTTTATATTTTCTTGCAAAGGATTTCCTTCTTTCTTATACTTTAACCTTAACTCAAACAACTTCTTTACTTCATCTCTTATTCTAATATCTCTGTTTCCATCGTAATAGTATCCTTGCAACACTTCACATTTGACACCTTGATATTTTATAAGGTCCTGTAATGTTATATGGTCAACATACATTAAACAGCAAGTGTTTGAACTTCTGGGAACGTTAAGTTCTGGATTTAGTTCAGGGTCACAAACTATTAAAGGAAAGTGTCTATGTATTCCAATCTCTGTTATCTTAATGAAAACAAAGAAGCCAGACATAAACTTTTCACCAATGGGTTCCTTTTGGTCGTCATCGAATAAATGTCTCATGAGATACTCTGTGCTTAACATTTCTTTCTTCATAACCTTTGGAATACCTTCTAAAGTATAAAGTCTTGCTATAGCTGATGGATATAATGAAACAGCGTCGAAGTCAGCAATGAGTTTCTTTTCGCTCTTTTGTTTCATGTTATCTGACAACATACATCTTCCACCTTGAATGCATCTCGAAATAAATTCTCTTGGTTTATTTGAGAGGTCATAAAGATTTCCATTCGGGAAGTATACTCTGTTCTCAAACAATTTGTTAGCAATAGAACAAATACTAACGTAGTCATAAACGTTTAAATCAAACTCTTTCAATAAGTCATTGCGGAACTTTACAAAACCTTCTCTTAAAATTCTTACATCTTGTTTGCAGTAAAACGTGCTATATTTTTCTAAATCGAAATGGTTTTCATCTATTCTGCAACCTTTGATGGAATCTATGTTTTTCATAAATGTATCTGCATCCCGGATAAACTTACATGCTTCAGAAATAACACCAGTTCTGTTGTCATTTGCTAACAAAACACTGCTGTAGTAGTTATATGGAAATACTTCTTTCGGTCCTGTTTGTAAGTTAAACATAGCAGGAAATAGTTTAAGTTTCTTATTTATAACACTGTAAGAGTCTTTTATAATAATTGCCCTTCCTTTATATAAGCCAGTTATTTGCATTGTTCGTGAACCTTTAATGATGGGAGTTCCTTTCACTTCTGTCATGTGTCTTAAGATGAAGTTTATATCATAGCTGAGGTTATGGAAATATATTAAACTCTTGTCAGGAAGTCGCTCCAAAAATTCTGTTGCACAGTTCTGACCCCAAATGCTTTCACTCACTGAACCATCTTCACTGTCATAACAGATGTTAAAAGCTTTATGAAAGCCATCCGTACTACACTCAAAGTCAGCAAAGAAAACATGCTCAGGAATGAACTTGCACTTATTTTTATTTACTTCTTTTGACTCGGCTTTCTTCTTCAGTTGTACACAATACTTTGGAGCATATGTCAAATCTTTAAATGGTGCAAGGTTCTGTTTATATAAGTCAGTCGTATATGTGAAAAGTTCTCCATAAGAAATAGGTTCGAAATATTTGCACTCCCACAATGTTTTCATAACATCCCATAGCGGTGTAGTTCTATCCATGCAAACTACATATTTATCTTCTCTCTTTGTATAAATCTTCATTTGTTTCTCAATGTTCATTCCACCACACTCCTTCAAGATTTCTATATAGTTGCGAATGAAGTATGTTGTCATTGGAAGTCTTTCATTTAGCATGTAGTGGTCTTCAACAAGAAGTAAGTCAATAGTTCGAACAGTTTTACATTCTTTTGGTATGTATCTCTTTATTTCATTATGTCTTGAGTCATTGAAGTAACCAATGGTAACATTAAATGCTATACCTGTTGCGTCAGAAATTTCTTGTACTTTACTTTGAGGAAAGTCTCTAACACGAATGACTTCTCTCATGTGGTCAATAGTTTCTTCATTTACTCCAGCCTGAATGCAAGCATAAACGAAACAATTGTCTTCTGTCATAAGTGCTGCAGTTCTTTTGTTCAGTTCATTGAAGATTTGGTAGCGTTCAAGATTTATAGGTAATGTGCAAAGATACTTCCAGAACTGACCGCTTCTCTTCTTATAAAACTTCTTTTCACCATTATCTTTCCAAAAGCTTTCTATAAGTGCTGGGTTTCCTGTTTGCTTAAGAGCTTCCAAAATGGCTTTCTGGTCATTTGTCAGTGTGCTTTCATCTCTATATGGTCTCTTTTTTGGTTTGCCTTTCTTTACATCTGACATCGTTAAGCCTTCATATTCTGTTAAATCATACATCTTTATTTCGGTAAGATTCTTTATGTTTGTCAAGAAGAAGTCATAGTGCATTTCAACAATACCTGCAGCATTTGCTTCTATCTCTGATATAAAGTTCTCCTTCAAGAGCTGATGTAGTAATGTTCCAATATTATTGAGGTTTAACGTAGAACATTCATACTTTCCACCAAGTTTATAACATACCATCCATCTTTGTTGGGAGTTTATTTTAATCTTCTCTAAGAGTCTCATGAAAACCTTACCGAAATGTTTGTGTAAATAGTCTCTGTTTGGTTCATCTAAAGCTTCGATGTTAAAGTCAATGAGTCTATTGCCTGACTTCACATTTCTCTTCCTATTCTCTTCATCTTTCTTTAACCATCTCTCACCTTCTTTTGGTTTGTCGTCAATGGAACGAATGACATCGTTAGCTTTGCGAACTTGTTCTATAGCACTTTTAAACATCTCTCTTCTCTGTTGTTTCAGTGTGTCGTCTCTCTTTCGTGTTTCTCCAACGTTCGCATTTGTTATGTCAAACATTTCTCTTCTTACTTCATGAGGTATTGAACGTCTATGATATAAGTCAATAGCAACATCATTTAAAGGAAATGCTCTTGCATTTATGAACTCATGAATTCTATCATAAGTTATTTCACCATTGTAGTCTTTAATGAAGTCAGCGAGTGCTTTTTTGTTTGTCGCGTAATGTTTTGCAACATCTATGTTAGCTTCTGTAAGAAGTTGTTTTATTTCCGAGTGTTCTAACTTAGACAACTTCCGATACATCTTTAGTAGGAAATAAAAAAATTTCTTAGAAAAAAATTAGCTTAGATTTTTTTAAGTTATTTTTCAAAATAATTTAATATTTTTATTTTAATGAAACACATGCAAGATTGTAAGTTCTTTTCATACAATGCTCTCGCTACTGTCATCAAGAATGAGTTCAATGGTGCTTCAAATGTTAATGTTATCTTTAACAAGAAGTTTGTGAAAGAATCTAAGTTTGGTCAGTATGTCAGACCATTAGCTATTGTCATTGACCGCAAACGTTATACTTCACAAGAATTAGCAGTAGTTTTGAAACAAAAGGGTTTCTTCGTGAATGTCAAAGATACACACTATACTATTATAAAGAACTCCAACATTGACTTCTTCAGTATTACTATGAATCTTTCCGAACAGAAAGAATATAAGAAGGGTGAAACAAATGTGAAATATTATCCTTCATCTCTGAAGACAATAACGAACAAAGATGTTATACAGAAATTCTTACCAAAGGTTGAAGAAGCTTCTATTGACATTGACGAAGGAAGTGAAATGGTTGAAGAAATAGACCCTGAAGCTATTTAAGCAAAAATATATTTTTGGTTAGTCTTCATATTGATATTTTACAACAATTCCCCAATGTATAAACTTTTCATACGCTTTTTCATAAGCTTTATATACCTTCAGAAATTTTGCATAATCTTTAGAAGCATTTAGATATTGTTTAAATGCTTTGTATGTCTTCAGAAATTTTGCATAATCTTTTACATGTTGTTCGTTCTCTTCTTCTGTCATGAGTTCCGAATATTCTAAATTCATGTTCTTTCATATGAGATAAATTTTATAAAAAAAAAATAAAATATAGCGTAGATTTTTTCATTCTTCCTCTTTGAAGTTATCGAAATATTCTGTTATCTTTTCTTTCAGTAGCGGTAAGTCTTCTTTGAATGTAAGTATTGTGCAACCGTTGATGTCATAGTGTGTTTGAGGAAGAGTATTTTTGACAATTTCCTTTATTTGCTCATTCGGTGTCATTGAAATCGGTAAGTTTTCACGATAGAACCAGTTTCTGTCAGATTTATATATTTTAGCGAGGTCATAAAAGCTCTTGTTGTTTCTTCTCACTAAATGCAACATAACCATATCTCTGTCTTCTTCTTTCTCCATCTCTTCAGTATATATCATATACTTATAGCTTTTTTCCTTTCCTTTTGGTACTGAACGTGGTATTCTTTTCTGTA